TAATGTAGATCTGAAAACCTGGACCCAGAATATGAGTGATTCCAGGTGTTCAATACATTAGGTCCCTTCTTCCTTATGTTGAAATTAAATATAGTTTGCCTTTCACTCCCAATCTATACAGCCACTAGCAGAGGACAGTTTTATGTGTGATGTGTTTTTCTCACCATCTGTTATTTTTAACAGTTACACCGTGTTTGATGTTAATTTCCCCTCCATTGCCCTGAGTCCATCACATTTAAATGATAAATCCACTTAGCGAGGTCAACAGGTTTTCCAACAAAAATGTTTTCCTATATCTTTATTGAGATTTGTTTCTTTCTCATTCTTTCAGTAGCCTATTACCAATTTTTATGTCTAAAGCATTGCACTAAATTATGCTTCTGTGGTTATTTTTGATAACTGAAATTTTAAAATAAATTCTGCATCACTTCTCTGTTGAGAACATTTCTAACCATCAGCAATGAGGTTTATTCTTCATTTTACAGAAATGCAAAACAGTGAGGTCTGTACTTCCCATCGCAACTATTTTATTAACAATGGCTGTGTTCTTAGAAAAAAGGTGTTTCATATTTTGCATATTCAGTGTAATCCTCTGAGACTTGAGGAAATTCCTAACAGCTGATTAAATAAGATAAACATGTCATATAATTCCTACATGTTATTTGCTATGTTTTTATTAAATTCAATCTAACTTGTGGTAAATTGCAACCCATGCGGTAAAGAGCCTATTTTATGGTCAATAGATTTATTATAATAATGATGACATAATCCAGGAAGAGGAAGCAAATGTTGGAAATATTTACCATCATCTTTGGTACACTTTTGACAATCTTGGACTCCAGACTAAAAGGACTTCTGTTTTATTCCTTTCAACTATCAAATCTATTTAATAAGATTTCGAAGATACAGCATTAATTTGTACTACTCAGGGTTCTGGAAATATAAAGACATAAATTGTGGTTTATCAGTTTTGGTTCTGATAAAATTGTGTAAGAAAGAAAGTTGTAAAAAAGTTATTGAAATAGCATTGAGATAAATGATATTTGAAATCCCTATATGATTCTAATAGTACAGAGCCATTTGAAATGTATTCCAATTCTTTCATTAGACTTGAAATATATTTCCTTTGTATTACTAACATCTAGTCTATGCATGCATTTCACTGAAAATCTTGAGATAAAATACTTTCAAGTGACAGCAGTGAGATTTTCATGCCTTGGGTTTGCATAGAATCTCTGTAGATGTTTCAGTTTAGCCCCCAAACTACTGCCCTGACCTGTACCTCCTACCTATCCAAAAGGTGATCCCACTCTCCAGGGGATTATATTTTCCTCAGTTCTCTCTTCCCTCCACCACTGCCCCGGAAATCTTCTCTGTCTTGAAAACAATAAAAAACCAAAACTAAAACAAAACCCACTTCAATTTGAAATGGCTCTTCACTTAAAAAAAAATCCAAAGAATCAATGCAACAATTAGTGAAATGCAAAATCAAAGGCTTCTTACTGATAAAATTGAATTATTATCAGATTTTTTTGTTCATAAATTTAGTGAATTGTTTTTTTTAATCTTTTATTGAGTCTTCTAAAAGAATGTTAGGTATTTCTCTCACTGATTTATAAGAGTTCCTGACGTATAATATTTGCACTATGTTCCATCATTTTATAAACATTTTCCTAGTTAGTTTGCTCTTCAGTCTGCAAACAATTTGGTTTGAAATACAAGAAAATACTCTTTTATGTAACCAATTATATAAACTATATAGAACTACATTCTTCAAATGGCTGTATAGTTCAAATGCCCTTGAGCATAATAAAATTAGA